GTCTCCTCCAACCTAATGATTCTATGATTCTTAATACCATAATCATAGGTACTGTCAGACTATAAGGAGAACAGACTAGAAACTGGCCAGGCCTGCTCCTCTATTAGCATTTCCTGTTGCCACTGTTTGAGACCAAATACTGAGCTCAACAGACTACTGGTCTGACCCAGGAGGGCACTCATGTTCTTAAAATCTAGGAAACTTCCTTCATTTGAAATGTAACCACAACCTATTTCTTTGCCATGGAAAAAAAAACCCAATAACACAGCTAGTGACTTTACAGTGATCCAGAATCCTTGAAGTAATAAATACCAAACAAGATTTCCTTGTGGTACCTGCCTTGGAAGGTAACGTACTTACCTCTAAACCCACCTCTGCTGAAAGAGAATCCGGCTTAACGTTGCTGATAAAAATGCCTGGCTTTTGTGTTGGACCGCTGGAAATACTGGTGTAATATAAAAACCAAACATTTATAGGACAATATTTATAGAATAATACAGTGTAATACAGTGAGAAGTCTAAGCTGTTTTCTCATAATTTGTTTCTGATTAAACAATATTTTTGTGGTATTAGCCTACTCTGAAACACCAAAATTTGCCAGTACACACACGATGGTTTATCATCCCACTTTTCTATCCTTTACACCACAAAACTATGATTTAAGAAAAAGGTAAAAAAAAAATATCCCAGCTTCTGGATTTTTCCTTAGATGTTGAAACTAACATAGTATACTGATCTACCCGTCTAAGGGACTGGGACAGTAATGACATTTGAAGGCAAGCATGTAACACAATGAAGAGTTACTAATTGCTTGCACATTTACCCACTGAACTGCGCTATACTATATGTATAACAATGTTATTTTCCAGGATTATTTATTAGAAGCAAGAGGGATGTTTCAACCAGGGGCCGACATCTAGCCTGGAAACTTTATGCTGCAGTCTAAGCTGGACCCAGACACAGCAAAGATTTTTGCAGATAGTACATCCAGCGGGTGATGTTGAATCACCAATCCAGGTTTGTAAGTAATTTTTTAAAAAACTTTAGATCTTCCAAATAATACGAAAGTAAACTTACAATTTAGAAAATATTCTGTGCAGTTCAGTCTTGATAACTTCACCTATACATTCCTAAATATATACTAAATCTTACAATATCCTTTCTACCTGAAAACCTCCGTAACGAGCTGCAAGGACAGCAGTCTGAGAAGCATCTGTTCGTATTTCTAAAATTCTTGCAAATTCAACATTACTTTTAGGAACTGGATATATCTGTACGATGGCTTCTTAGTTCTGAAAAGGGTCACAGAAAGTAGTCTAAGTTCAGCGAGGGAATCTGACAACGGAAAGTGATGGAACCTGCTATGTCACAGTGCAGCATTTGAAAGTATTTTAAAATGTAAAAGCACTTAAAAGATCTAATTCCATGACAACTTGTATTACATCACTTTTAGCCTGCTCTTATTTTTAAATTTAAAAGATTTTCTTGGTTTGAAGTCAGAACTTCTAACACAGGTATTTATGCTTTGTCTAATAACATGTAATGCATGCTACAGATACCCTCCTTCCAGTTTGCCTTCCTGATCCAGCAAGCATCTCCATTTTCCTGATATCACATCAACGAAGAATGGAAATAACTGCCTTGGATGTCTCCCTTAACAAACCAGTGACATTAAATAAGAAACATATACCCACCTGCAACCCATGCCTTTTGTACCAATCAAGCTAATGAAGACTTTCTTCTCTTTATTGTCTCTCCCTCCAGAAGAAGCAAGACCAGCAACACTGCCCTTTCCTTCCTGTAGGGGGATTAAAAAAACGCTGCAGATGTTACTCTGTGTTGAGCCCTTATCAAGACTAGTATAAAGCTTCATGAAGCTAGGATCAAACCCTACCATCAAAATAAGATTCCTCCTTCCTACTGGAGACAAACGCAAAGTACAGCCATTTCGGTGGAGATGCATGGCTGAGGTGAAAGGCTGAACTTTCTATTTGCAGAAGATTGTTTAAATAGTCAAAGTCTGTCTTCAGAAAAGGGTGAAGGAAAATCAGAGGAAAGTGATATGGCAAAATAATAATTTAGATGTTTCCTGACAAAAGAGCTAGAAAAATACATGATAATGCTCACTATTTAATTCAGTTTTTCTTTTCTTCCTGAAAGCAAAAGAACAGTAATTGTGGTCTCTTTTTTCACTGCTGCAACCCATAGAAGTCACATTCATACCTGTCATTCCTCCACTAATATAGCTAAGATAGGCCAAATAATCTGTTAAAGATACATACAGCAGCATATAGCCTGGTAAGTTAATAAGCTCAAGCAAAATAAAGTACCAGCTAATGAGTAAAAGACATTTCATTTGTATCCTGCCCTTTCCTTACCTAATGATTCTAGAATCATTTCATATCACAAAAGATGTTTCTCCCAGAACACTTGTAACAAGATATTGCATCATAGTAATACATACAATAACTTCCGTGACAAGGTCAGAGAATAAGGTGTTTCAGAACCACTACAGATTTCCCAGAAGACACCTTAATAAAATACTGATCTCTTACCCCAGAGTCTGACACGAACTGGTCCACATATTGCCATTTAAGGGGTTCATCTGCTGAACTGGAAGGAAAAAGTAATTTAAAATAATGGGGACAAAATAAATAAAAATGTATCCAAGAAGCTACTTTGGAATGCGGCCTCCTATTTTGCATCCACAAGTTCCTTTGGATACTGCTCACAACAACTGGTTTATTTTCCAGCAATTTAAATAGAACATCAAACAAGCATACAATTATTTAGGCTAGTAAAGCTGGTCAAACATAAAATTCAGAAAACCTCCTCAAGTTAAACAATTTTGGGAAACTCTAAGAAGGACTGTGAAAATAATCATAACAACTTGAACAGCTTATATAAAGGTCTCTGCAGAGCGACACCTCCCATCGTTAACGTTTCTCAAACATTCTACTTAAAGTTTCAACTATTCAACAACAATTGCAAGGGGACAATAATTTGAAATTTTTCTAAGCTCTGAAGCAATCCTCAAATGTTACGTACATAGAGCAGCAGTGGAGCTCTCTATTAAGCTAGGTACATTGATAATGAAATTTCCAAGTAATATCCACAGATAATGAGGAAATAGAAATTGGTTCTTTTAAGAACTGGCATAAAAAGTCAGATTCATCAAACAAGACATCTGCCTGTTTATCACAAAGGATGTGCCATTTTAATCAGCTACAGGGATGCCCACTGACACTTTTTCAAATATATAAACACAGTTTCTTTGGATACTGAAGAGGCTACATGAAAATGAAATTATCTAACTTGTTTTCAAATTAAATACCGTTACCTTTTGACAGGTATCATGCCAATATCTGAAAAAGAAAAATATCCTGTTTAGTAACACTTTCTACAGATCACCAGCAACCTATTAACAGCAATCTTTAGTGATACACTCTATCTTTTTATGTTACTTACGTCTTACTTTTATGGACACTATTTTCTTTGTACGAATGAGGTTTATGACTTCTTCATGTGTGCATGACGAAATGGAATATCCATTTATACGAACTATCTCATCTCCAACCTCAAGAATGAAAGGGAGAAGAAAAAATAAATTGTGAATTAACGTTAAAAGGTTTTTAAGCAATGATGCTATCTAGCAATCATTTTTGATGCAAAGGTTTGGTAATGTTGAGTCCTGAATACTTCTTCAATTTCAGGTAATGTCCAGATCAGGTTTACCTGTATTTATTTGAACTTAATATTTAACACCAGAAGGGCAGAAATAAGAATTTCATAAATAATAGCTAGTCTCTACACATCATACTTGTACTCCACAGATTACCTTAAACACAAGTGTCCATATTTCAATTCAAATGATTTTGGAGTGACATTCTTCCTTCATACGTCAGGCATTTACCACATGTTCTCTGGGACACCTCCTCAACTATTTTGATCAATAGGAAACTAAACTTGGTCTGATTACCTTGCTTGATTCTGGATTCAGAACAATGAATTATTTTAATGGAATTTTCAGATGCAATCTCTGATTAATTACAGTAGTCATGTACTAGCGTAATGAATGCTTATTCTGGGGTGCAGTAGCTTAAGTCTTCTTGGGCCATCTACAGTAGGTACAAAATTTCATGCCACTCATGTGTGACAGATTTTCAAGTGTTTCACAGCACCAACCCATCTTATACTATGGTTGAGAGATGGTACCACTACCTTACAGTGGCCCTAGGCTGTGGTATTCTCCCTGTTGTACGATAGGAAAAAAGTTAGAAAACCTGAGACAGAAACATAGAAGGAAGCTCCCACGAGACAGAAGGCAAGTCAATCACTTATTCCCAAGCTTACTCAGGCCTCTGTGTGTATGCAATATATATATTTGGGCTCCATGGGTGGCAGAGAGCAGAGTCGGGTACAGAACAGACCAAGAACATGCGCTCTGAATAGTGGAGATAAAACTAGTGTTATCCCAGAGGCAAATTTAGATGAAGATAACTATCTACAATTACTTTGCTTAGAGGCTCTGTGCTTTCACTTTAGGTTTGGAAAAGGTCCTTATACTGGAGATTAAGAGCACAATTTTTACAGTCTTAGTGAACATCTTCGTTGACCAAAAAGTTTCGGGGAAGAGCCAGGTTCATCATAACACATTTGGTGAAAGTTAGTTAATATAAAGACTCTGGCTATACTAGTTCTGATCTGAGAACTTCCCTTTCATCCACTTGCTTTGGGACTGCCCCTGGTGCCAAGATCAGTTGTGAACACACTTTCAACTGCTGTTGCAGAAGATCAGAAGAGTTAGCTCTTCCAGAATGCAGGAGGCACGGGAGGAATAAGAAGCTTCATTCAGTCCTAACCACTAAGGTGGTACAAAAAAGAATGTCATTGTGCAAAACCCACTATCTGCTTACAGAATTAAATACTTCATTGTAATATTCACAACAGTATTACAATAAATATTGTAATCTTTAATATGTTTGTTAAGACTGTGTGAGCAATTGCCACCTTAGATAACTGACCTAGTTTGTTTTTTTTTTAAAATATAACTGTATTTATTTTTTCTTTTCAGCCAGGCACTTCTCGTCTCCACTACTGAAACTTTACAACTTCACTGTCACTGGAAGGACAGAAGGTAACACTGCCAGTCTTCATCAGACTGAGCAAATCACCTACTGTGGCCATACAGACTAAATCATACAGTGTATCCACTGTTTTCTCCATCACACAAGTTTGATGGGACTGAGGACTAGCTTCCTTGTACCTTGCTGACAGCCCGAGATTCCCTCTCTGGCACTGCACAGCTCAGTACCAAAAGCCTAAATTTTCATCACCACATTTACGTGAGAGCAGGGAGTGGAACTGGAAGTAGGAATTCCTCAGTGTGGCCTGTGTCTTAAAGGCTGTCACATTAACACACACAGTGACAGGTCTGCCCTTGGGTGACAGGACACAGGGCATGCCATCACCGTCTGCATTTTTTTCGATGTGTAATAAGTGTTATAGAATCTTCCTACTGTGATCTGTTCAGCTAAAAAAACCCAAAACCCAACAAAACCAGAAACCACCTGCTTATCTTCTTCACTTCTTTCACAAACTTTTCTACTTCTGGCAAGTGCCATATACTCTGCAAGAGCACACAAAACATTAACAACACGTCCACTCTGCCAGCATAGCTCGTGTAGTGCAGTTCCCTCTCCACTGAACTTAAAAGACTTTTGTCTGACACAACACAGCATCGGAAGACTACAAAAGCAAAGAAAATGCAGTATGTGAGTGTCCTGCGGGAGCGTGCACACTTGCAGAGTCAGAAAAAGCCTGTGGTCCCCAGCCCCCAAGCAGTGGGGCTGCTGCTCCACCTGCTGGAGCCAAAAATCTCAGCCAGGGCATGGCTTGTGTGCAATTTGCAGCACTCCTAGAGCTTGACTGTTTCCATTTGAGTCAGACAGATTTTTAACACGATCTTTAATAAGAGCAGAAATAGGTCAGTACTGAAGGCTTTTGAACACACACACCCTGTGGTAAAAATGCAGAATCAGGCAAGGAAAAGCACACAGGGTCTGCACCCCCACAGCTCTTGCTATGAAAGAACACTCACTTCATCAACTTGTTCAAAATCACATCACACCCATCCACCCACCCATCCATCCATCCCACAGGCCTGGCAGCCGTGCCATTGCAGTCCTAAGCTAGCTTCCCACCCCATATCCAAGAATTTAGTCTATTGCTATTCATCGCCCTCAAAGCTTCAGGAAATCCATTGTAAATAAGGCATTTTTAGGACTGGGATTAGCACTAAAATGTGACTGCACTGCCAAGAAGAAAATGGCTCAGAGACAAGTCAGACTTGTGGCACTGTGCATAAAGTCGCAATATCCTCTACAAACCATAAAGACTCTCAACCTATCTAGGATTCTGATGGTTATTCTAGGAAATGGTAGGGAAGCGAGTGACCTCTGCTTAACAAAGGAAGGTTGAGTTCCTCAATAGTAAAACGCTCAAAAAGCTTCCTCCATTCCCACCTCTGGCCTCTCTCTGGATTACTCACTTGCAAGAACACCAGAAGTTTGTGTATAACTATTTAACCTCAAGTATGCAATGTCGACCTCATTTGATTTACCCGGACTTTTCTGTTGATCTTATATATTTGTTGTTGGGGGTGTTTGGGTGTTTTTTTAGTTTAGTTCAAGATCCCTCCTGTACTCACATCTTACCCATCACACAGGCTATATAACAGACCACGGAGCCTGGGTTTGCACAAACCAACCTTTTAAAAGGGTAACCTAACCTACTGTTATTAACTGCGATGCCGTAACACACAGAAGCATCCCCGTTTTCGGACTGCAAACGGCAGTGCCGGTTTTGAGTCTCCATGTAACTGCATCAGCAGAACTAGTGTTGCTCTGAGGATGTCATCACTCACTAAGCAAGTCATATTTCTTAGTATTATATCATCTTTCTAAGAGGCATACACTTAAAAGAGCATATTTTATTTTTTCCTGCCATATGAGAATGAGCTTTTCCCATACAGATATTTTTAATACTCTTCCCCAAAACAAAAAGACAGTCTAGTACTCTTCACTCATCCTATTCACATTTCTGTTACTGACTGACAATGTATGACTCAGGGTGCTTTAGCAATACCCCAGTCTAGGCTAAACTACAGGAGACATTGGAAGGTAACAAACTGCTTCTCTTTAGGACACTTGAACAGCTTTTCCTGAAAAAAAGTGTCCATATACGGAAATAATTAATAGTTGTTTTCATATATTTTGTTACTTTTATACTGGTATCACTGTATACAAACTTTCTGAATCTGAAGCAGCAGAGATAAAAGTCTGCAGGATTGAGCAGAGTAGAACAGTAACAATTATTTTGTCACTATAGATCACTGTTTCCCCTTTCCCTATCAAACAGGCAGATGACAGACTTTCAAAAGGAAGATGCAAACCTAATTTTTCCCAAGTAAAATGCCTATTATTTGTAACTTTTAACATAAGAAATATAATACTTAGTGCTTTCAGGAAATTGAAGAGTTTTTACATAATAACATCACTGTTTCAAAATTCTTTTTATATACTTCTTGCACTTTAATCACTCATACCATCTCCATCTGTTTGTTTTCAGCAGTATCCCAAAAGATGTAAGTATCAAAAAGCAGAGAGAAAAAAAAAAAAGATGAAGTACATTTCTCCATGAAAGGACAAAACACTTGCCGTTTAGAGACACTGTAGTTAAAAAAGGGTCAAAACTACAAATGCCTCAGTGAGCCTTCACGATTATTCAGTCATTTTAATGTAACTTGGAAACTACTTCAATCAGGCAAAATGAATCGGAATTTTTAAAAAAGGCAGCAGGATGTAAAACTGATGGTGTAACAGAAGATTATTATACCCTTCTCGGACAGCATTTTTGGGATAGAAAATGTGTAGAGATTTAGTTAAATAAAGCAGGTGGGTGAAATTTCAGAAGCAGTTGGCTTTACTGTGAGACAGCAATTTAGAACAATGGGCTGCCTGTCAGCTCTTGTTATTCCAGGGGGTTCAGGAAGCACCTAGTGCCACCTATTATGAAGGCACTTTAGGCTGAGCTTTAACATCACGTATCAAAAAATGGAAGTCAGACACATTACTGGCGAAGCACCACCTGTTCATATGAATACATATAATTGAACCCTAACAAATTCATAGTCAGTCTGAAGCGTATTTCCCCCTTATGGTCCCTACTTTGTCTGACAATCTCTAACCATGTTCTGCGTTACAGTACAAATTGTACAACCCAGCCCAAAGATCCTTTACGATCCCATTCACTGTCACCAACACGTAGGACGATGGCCTCACTCACAGAAAGCCAGTAGGGCCTTTTTGCATACTGAGAAAAAACCTAAAATTGACATCCTTACAGTAGCACAACATCTGAGCATAATCGCTGATCTACTGATTGTGTCAAAACATGAGTATGAAACAAGCAGAGAGGCAGAGCTGCCACACAGCATTAAGATGAATTTACTAGCATGACAGTTTAATACAGTGGTTACTAAGTCCTTTACTGCTCAGCATCAATTAATGCTTTCCAGTATTTTCCAGGAGATGTTTTCAAAAGCCATATAAGTGACCGGTCTTTGTCTTTTTCTCAGTTTTCTAGTAGAGGAGGAAGGATGCAGCTGGAATCTCTCTACTGAGCTGATCACAATCCAAGAACAACTCTCTTGTCTACACTTCCCATTCTCACTGTGTAACGTAGCACACAAGGTACATGAGCTCTTGGAGTGCAAACACGGGGAAAGTGCATCAGTGCCTTTTTCTGGAGTTACCCATTGGCAAATCGCATGTGTAAAAGTAGGGTACTGACACATCCAGCATAGTGTTTGTGGTGTCCTATGCCACCCTCTCGATTCTAACTAAATACAGAATTTGTGGGGGTGTATTCCCTGCATTCGTGGGCTTGTTAGAAAAAGGAGCCTCTAAAAGCATTCAGGGAGCTGGTCTTGTGCCTGTCCAGAGCAGGCTGCCAGAAGATGGGACTAATTTAATGGTGATTCTGAAGTAGTGAATGTGATATAGAGGTACAAATGCACAAAGGGCACGTGCACATATGCAAACAGACAGGAGCATTTATTTAAATTTTAGAAAGCTCTCAGCATGAATCACGCAAACACGGATCCCTAACTTTCACTGCCTTGTCAACAGAGGTGTTTTGTTTGTTTTTTTTTTTTAAATCTAAGAGTCATGGGGTTACACTGAAGCATATCCACAAAACACATTAGTTTAATTGAATACTGCAATGAATCATTCCAGTCTAATACTTTTGGACTAGTATTAAATATAATCCTTCATCGTCAATACTTCCAGCAACTATTCGCAGTTGACAAATTGAATTAGCCAGGCATGTCAGCCCTTCCACTCAGAAACACAGACATTTAATACACCTCATCAACTTCGAAAGCATAGAAAGATACAAACATCTGCTATAGCAATTGCTCGCTTATCTCTTCACTATGATATACACAAGCAAGACATGACATAGTCAAAAAAACCCAAATACCCAAAACTTCATGAATGCCAATTGCATAAGTACTGATATAGCAAAAATGTGTTTCTATACATAATTATTTTTGCCAATCTTGTTACAGTTTATGTGTCTAAAATTTAATCACTGAAAGTGCAATTCTATGCAGTACAAAGGATACTGGAAATGGTTAAAAACAGGTTCTTCTATGTATTTCTGTTGCATAAACCAAACCCCCCACAATTTATACACGAAGCTCAAATAAACACTTCATTACACAAACTATATCTGTGCGAGGTGGAATTAACATTTTTAGTATTTATATGCTCTGTTCTACATTTAATTTGGCAACTTAAAACACTCTTCCACAGTCTAGTTAGAGATCTGACTTTCCACCTGCTCACATTTAACTGTCGCTGCTCATGAAGTATAAACACTCCAGAAAGACATCTCTCATCAAAAATTATCAAATCCCAAATATGAAAAAAGGTTTACATACCATTAAAATTGGTGAAAAGAAAAGCATAATTTTAATAACTTGATTCACCATCGGTATAATGGTATTTACTATGGCATTGACTTACATATTTTATGGATTTTGTTACAAGCGACAAAAAGCACCTTAGCAATAGCTATCTCTAAATGTTAAAGAACAATTCTTACTGCTCGCTTCCCTGACACTGTAGCAAAAGGCCTTTTGTGGTACAGCAGCCATGAATATAATTTTCTTACCTGAAGTCCAACACTGTCTGCCTGTCCTCCTTTAACTAACTGGGAGATGAAGAGGCCACAGCTAAATTCCACCCCACCTCTCACACTTATTCCAAGTCCTTCAGGATGCAAACGATCCAATCTCACCTCTTTCAGCTTTCTGCAAAAATGGAAGATACTTGACTGTTCAGCTGCAGAACACTTTGTGGCAACAACGTTTCATGCGACAGTTACATATTATTTTTCTCTCACAACATTTAGGCATAAAAAAAGCAAAAGGTGACTGAAATTTGTATGGATGTGTGTCAGCTAAAGCCTTTTTCATAAGAAAAAGACGTCTGCAACCGTTGAAGCTGTCTGCTTCTAGAGGGTTAGAGCTGTAAGAATTTTTTAATTATTAAATGCAGGAAAAACAAGAAAAGATTGTTTCAACTGGAAAGTATTATTTTTTCATCTATTCAAAGCAGGGTAAGGGAGTAATCTATGTTGCAAACAATTTCAGACAGCTCAAAAGTGTACGTCTAGCAAATATAGCAAAGGTAAAATAATTATGCCCAGCTCTGCACAGATTACTGATATTTTACTCAGAATTAAACTGAAAACTTTCTATTTCCTGCTCGTATCTAAGTTAGTTGCCTTGTTCTGTGTTCTCTTACCGTGATCTTTTGGGTGTAAGCTGATCATATTCCACCTGGTGTTTTAATGGGATAAGTGGGCGGATAGCATCAAATAGAGGCAATCTACTTGGTTCATTAATCACGAGTTTTAGGTCCCCCACAAGCACAGGGAGATTCATAGACCTACACAAACACAGTGACAAGACAAGCACAGATAATCAACACACCAACACAAAGCATCATTTAATAACTCGCTGTACATGTGGTTTCAAAATTTGCACATCCCTTCAACCTACCAAAAAAAGTTATTTACGCAGATACTGGTTTAACCAAAGAAAGCCTCTGAGAAAGCAAGCCTTCTCAAAGCAAAGAGGGATAACAACTACCTGCTTGAAAGGAACAGAAATCTCCTCTGTGTTGCCTTTATCTTTTAAGGTCACACACATCACTTTTATAGATGTCATCTTTAGTTTCACTGTGAGAGTTCCCAGAAGATTTATGGAACCATTTGGAAATAACCTTCCAGATCAGATATACCTGCCTAATAGGTTTGGGGTTTTTTTCCTTACTAGTTAGGAATCCTTCTAAGTGAATCTAAGCTACAAGCTCCTTCCCCTCCTGAACTTAGGGGACTGACAAATTGTTTTGATCCAGGAAAAAAAAAAAAAAAAAAAAAAAATCACAATACTCAGTAGCTAGAGCAAAGACCTGGTTTAAGTTTTAAGGTTTTTTCAATTCAAAATTGAAGGGCCAGTAATCAACAAACAAAATCTACAGAAGTTAAATCACTGTGAACATCTGTTTCATGAGAGCTATGCAAGGTAGCCTCCTCAATATTGTCAGCACCAGGAGAGTTATACAGGTCCAGAACATGTACATCGTTGTCCAGCTGCAAGAGTGGAGGAACAGCTCCCCTTGTGAGGTTCAGCCGAGCTATTCCTACACAACACCCAGTCAAACTTCGTCTGTATTATTTGCTGTTCCCTTTCTTATAAGTTACATTTCCTGGCATACAATATTTCTGAGGCACATGTAATGAAAATACAGATCAGGAATGCATGTTACATGGGATTAGAGGTTAAATACTTTTGGAAATGTTATTCAAAGTGAAGCAGACATTAAGTGTATGGAATACTTCATAACGTATTCCACAAAAGCGATACATCATCAACATATGTTCACAGAGATATTGGAAATTTTGGTCAAGTCATTGCAATTTTGGAAATTGAAGAAAAGTTACTATATCCATTGTTAATTTTGTAACTGCAAGAAGATTTTAAATATTTAAGAGCTACTGAATCAAGCGGCTTTCCAAACAACAGGCTTTATGAATGGAGAAGGAATTAGACAGACCTGAGTGAAACTGAATCAGATATGCAGCTGAATACACCCATAACTACAGCTCAGCGCAAACATCAGATGGAAACATCTACGTTTCACTCAGCTGGGATGCTATCAAGATATGAATGGAAACAATGTCTATGATGAGTGGAAAAAACATTCTCATCTTTGAAAAACAATGGCTCGGAGGCCGATCTCATTTGCAATGATACAGGTCCTAAGCAACTGTGGTTTAAATCAGTTCAGCAAAAGGACTGATAACAGGCCTATCGCCTTACCATTTTTCCCCGTTATGTTGCAATAAGCCCGAGCTGTTAAACATGCCAAACAGATTCCCAGCTGTCAGATAAAACAGTGCAAATAAATTTTTACCTGAATAGTTGGCAAAAATCTTTGAAAACCAAAATGAGTGAAAACTTCAGTCACAAATATATTAGCATTATTTGGAAACAATAATGATTTGGAAACACTAATGAATTTTATTAATGTTTTCTTCCTGCTTCCTAAGAACAATTTTATCATCCAGGTGCTCTTTTTTTCCCCCCAATACAAATCCACCAAATTCTTTCACAAAACTGCAAAGTCATAAAACCAAAGTAATTTCATGGGTGATTACAGACATGCTCCTTCCTTGTCTGTCAGCTCACTGTAAAAGTATAAGGCTTCATTAAACAGGATAAAAAAATATTACTTCAACTATTTTTCTAGTAGCTCATAGAAAGACCCTTAAAATCTTGAATATTCACTTTTTACATTTAAAAATGTTAGTAAAATTCTACACAACATATATAAAGCTAGATCTTACTGGTGGTACATCCGCAACACATCATAAAGGTAATCCTTCTCTGCTTCATTGTCAATTAGGAGATTAACCTGAAAAACCAAGGACGTTATTGTAAATCTCTGACTAAATCACCACAAATTTCGAAAGTACAAGACTTTCATAAATTCTTAAGCCATAGAGCAAAGATTTCAACACAGAAAGACTTTTTTTTAAAAAAAAGATAAACACATTTTTGCAACGCAGCATTACCTCACAACATGAAATTTATAATGACTTAAAAAATTAGTATTACAACAGATGGACAAGGTGGTAGATACTGACATATTCTGTATGCTAGATTTCCCCTCAGCAGTAATATTATTACAATATCATATTTGCCTTACCTGATAATCACTGTACTGTTGAATAAATGTTTTCAAAAACCTTTTTGGCCATTCATTAATATAGCACATGTTGTCCCAGTAAAACTACCACACTGAGATGAATATAATCTGCGGTCTGTCGTCCAAACCACTGATTTCAAGATCTCACTTATGCAAAGTGCTACACTTCTGTTCCCCTTTGCTTCAGCTCTTAACTGATAGAACTTGCTAGTTATTCTTTCCTCCCCCACTAATAGTACATTTACCTAAACCAGTGTCATATTACTACGCCTGCTCTTGGATAATTACAGTAAAATAAAGAAAAAAAAACCCCAAGAACTCTCATATGAGGAGTTCAATTTATATTCAGTGACAGTGAGACCCCCACAGATCCTATGGGCAGTGAGAGGTCACATCACATTAGTTTTACATTTGGACAAGCTTAAAGTTTAGGAAAACAATTTACATCTGACCTAAAGGCTAATATTACTGTGACGTGAAGTCTGAGGACCAATTTGCATACTTAAAGAAAGGCCCATTCTGTCTAGGCTTGCAATGGTTTGCATTATACTCTAAAATAAATACACGCTTCATATTCCCTTTGTCCCCTTCGGCTCTCTAAAGCCAGCAAGATTCCACATACAGGTGGTTTTCTATTACCTGAGTCCTCTGGAAAAAGAGACTTTCAAAACAGCTAAAGGCCAAAAAGCTACATGCAGGGCAAGGTTTCTTGACAGTAATACTAGTGAGTAAACCAGCTTATTCACAGTGAATTTCAAAACACAGAAGGAAAAAATCTGCCTTAAAAGGAAATAAAATGGTTGCAATCAGAACTGAGTGGTTCACCAATACTGTACACAGACTCAAGGCAAAGTCATACGTGTAAAACTAAGTCCAATGCTCATTTTTCCCTTCCCCATGAGGAAAAATACAACATGAAAATCAGCTTCAGTTGCAGTAATCAGAACTCAATCTCTAGTGCTAGCTAAGGTACTGTATGAGCGGTGCCTCACGAAGACGATTAAATGTTTAAGCCCATAAACCCTACATAGCAAAGAGCAAAACCATCATCATCTCTTCTCCTGATTGGGAAAGCAACCAGTAATGACATTACATTTTTCTCCTTATGTGCTAGCTAATGGACATATCCCCACTCCCTCTCAGGAACTGGAAGGTCATATCTAAATTCTGCCATTTCTTCTCACAAGACATTCAGTCTTCCTGTTTGACACCTGTACCAGGAACTTCCTCATCCTCTGACAAAAACAAACTCCCAGGTGACTTCTTATGTATTCAGAATGCTACAGCCGGGTTAATCTTCCTGGGCTGTCTCTCTAATTATGTCATTCTTACCCTGCTGCCTTCTATTCCACCAATTATCACTTCATTGTAGCCACTTGCATCTCTCGTCATTTTCCTAAGGCATTAACTCCTCTGTACAGAGTCTTACTGGAGGCATACACTTTACCTAAGCTTATCAACAGCTTCTAAAGACTTGCTAATTTCATAAATCCTAAAAAATCATGCCCCTACATGTTAGGGGAAAAAAAAAAAACAGTGGTGACATGGTGTAACTTAGATCAGAGAAGTACTTTAGTATCTCTGTATTTCTCAAGGAAATAACCGTGGAGGTTTGGGATAGACGATTTCACAGCTTTTAAACCAAGAATATTAAACCCCCATCTGAACACAGTCCTGAGCAATCTCTCTAGGTGGCCCTGCCTAAGCAGGGGGGTGGAGCAGGTGACCTCCAGGTCACTTCCAACCTCAACCAATCTGTGATTATTTAAAGGTATCTTCACAGCAGTTGTACAACTTACAGTCCTAGAACACAAATAAACAGTTGCTTATGCTCTATTTCTCACTATATAAACTGCACTGTTTTCCACAGAAATCAGTAAGGAGTCATCACAAAAACTGCACCTATATATAAAAGAAAAATCTAGCAACAAGTCTATGTAAGTTTATTCAGTAGAATAGAAGTTGTGAGAGAAAAAAGCACTTTTTGGTGTGGAAAAAGTTAAGATTACAGTAATGCACTACTGTAGCACTAGCCCAATCTGTCAGCTTTCAAGAACAATATAAAGGCCCGTTTAAGCTACACAGCCTTTGAAAAACTATTGAGGGAAATGGAAGAACTGGCCAATATATTTGCATCTATTATATATTTTGCATTGCTGCTTGGTTGATAGGGAGAACTGATTAAAATTACCAAGAAAAAAAAAAAAGCGTGAAAGTAGCAAATAATGGAAGGAACTCAGATCCTGTGGCTGAGCACTTTCACTGGTTTGACACAGAACGAGTAAGTATCCAAGACATTAACATTGCTGCAGAGGTCACTAGAAACAGGATGGTACAAAATAATTTAAAGTAAAGACCTATTCCGGTATCCTCTGACTCTTTTCACTGAGATATGTGTCCTACTTATTCGCAGCAACAAACGCCGGCAGTAAGTCTTACATTAACAGGGGTGGAACTAGAATGTTTTATGAATTATAGCAGCAATGATAGGGAAAAGGTTTAAAGTTCAAGGTGGAAGCCATCTGCCTAGGAACCAGGTAGCTATATTGCACAACCCACTGTTGAGTTACACTGTAATAGACAGCAAGGCAGAAATAACTTGCTAGATTAGATGGCTGTAGTCATCCCTATAGAGTAGCCATGTCCTTCTTGTTTCTGAACTTCAGTTTGTCATATAGGCATTTTTTTTTGTAGCCCCGCTACTTCATCCTAACAATTCTTTAGTTAATGGGTTTATCACCAGGTGGTACTTCTATAAAACACAGCATTACATTACTTTGAAGAAATTCCATTCCCTAGCTGACAAAAAACCAAATCAAGCACAAACTCCTCCACAAGAAAACCCACCACAAAACATTACTGAAACCCTTAGTCTGAGACAGTCCTAAATGGCTATGCAAAAGCATCTCTTCGACACGCAAACCATTTCCCCCCTCCTTTCCTTAAACTGAGATTTTTGCGCTTACTTTGCTCATATAATTTTGAGCTCTGCTGAGTACTTATTTAACTGGGTAAATGACAAAACGAGGTGCCCGGCAGGCTGAGTCGCTCCATGTATCAAGTGCATTTGCAGATGACTGCACACGCACAATCGCACTCGTGAGTGTTAAGGTGGAACTGAAGCCTCCCGAGCCTGCAGGGCTGCGAACCTCAACTGCCCGGGCCTGGACTTCGGCCCCGCCGAAACGGCACCAGCTACAACATATTTCACATGATATTAAACCAAAATAAATTGGATCAAGCCCTAAAAGCTCACGCACTGCGGAACGTCCTTCCTCTTCTCTCCCTCCCTTTTCAAGGGTTTTAAGTTTTACAAGCACCCTCGCACAGGGGGCTGCCCACCGCTTTCCCACGCCATGGGCACGGCAGCGCCAGGTGCCCCGAGCTCCGCCCTTCC